AAGGTACCAATAACAATATAGAAGATCTTGTATAGAAATAGGTAGGTTGTACGCCAACTAAGAAGTTAATTGATGGGATAATATCCAATTAGTTAGTTTCTAAAATAGTAAAAGTATAACTAAATTGCTAGAGTAGGTGTCATTAAGTAATTAGTGTAGCACGACTCTCTCACTGTAATATCTAATTGTAATAAGTTCTATATTAATTAATAAAGATTTATAGCGTATAAGCAATTTACAATAAAAAAAAAAAAGCTCCTAATAATTAAAGTATATATTTTGATATAAAATATAATAAACTTTTGCTTTTATTTTTTGAGAAAAAAAAAAAGACTGATAATTTTTTTGAAAACTATAATCCTCTTGACCCTGAAAATGATAATTTTGAAATTAATAATAGTCTATTCGGCAAAGATAGTCATAATAGTCTTTCAGATCTAAATAGTCAAGTATCTCAAGAAACAAATATTAGTTTGCTATCTCAAAATCATACACTAAACAGAAGATTGAAAAAGAGTTCAACAATTTGGCCTTATTTTAACACCAATACAACTAACTACTCCAGAAGATCTGTATGTCTAAGGTGTAATCAAGTTTTTTCACAAAAGACTGGGGTTCAACTTTACGAAGGCATCTAGATGGGTACAATATTAATGCACCAGGAAGATTCCAAACTATGCTTAACTTTTCTAGAACTGATCTGCATAATAACAGTGAACAAAAAAAAAGATATAAAAATTAATTACCTTGATCATTACAAATCAACAACTATTTACTGTTGTTGAAAACAGATATTTTAATGAATTCATTAATTTTCTTGACCCCCAATATATAACACCAACAAGACAAGCCACTAAAAAATAATTTTAGATAAATTTGATAGTAGTAAAGTAAAATAGTTAATGATATCATAAAAATTCCCATAAAGGTTTCTTTGACTACTGATATGTGGATATCTCAAAATTTCGAAGTATTTCTCAGTGTTATGATTCACTTTATAAATGCTGGCTAGAAAATGTGCTATTTTCTTTTAGATATTATTTCGTTTAATGATAGACATACAGATGTAAATATGGCAGATGCTATTAATAATCTTCTTAATAATTTTAATCTTAAAGATAAAACTTTAGCACTTACTACAGATAACGAATTCGTTATGATTATTTGTGAAAGATTAATCACACAAGAATTATAATTTGAGCTTGATAATATTGGATTTTCACATTACCGCTGTGCAGCCCATTTACTCAACTTGGCTACAAAACAAGAACTAGAGATGGTTGATTCTTTTGTAAAAAAAGTTCAAACTTGATATTAAAAATCAAAGTATCTACTTGTATTAGTGATAATTTACGTGGATTATGCTAGTTTAAAGGAATTCAATATTTTAAACCTGAGTTGGACATAGAGATGAGATGGAATAGCACATTCTATATGTTACAAAAAATATAAAAGTTGAAAATAGTTCTTAATTTACTTGCTGCAGATCATCCACTTATCTGCTCACTATATTCAAGTATTAATGAATAGCAAAAATTAAAAGTAAATAAAGAAGAATTGTTTTCTTTTTGCAACACCTATTTGTCATAAAATTAAAAAAATACAATAATAAAAGTTTATTAACAAGAGCAATTTATACAAATAAAAAATTAATTAATATCAATTTTAGGATGTACTTACTTTGTTAGAACTACTCGAAGCTGCTACAAAGTTGCTTTCTGTAATATTTTATCCAACAATAGGAGACATACATTTAGTGTTTTTGAGTATTCAGGATTTTTTAGATTCATATATCAGTCAAGTACAAAGTTGCTTTTTGCAATATCATATCCAACAATAGAAGATATATATTTAGTGTTTTTGAGTATTCAGGATTTTTTAGATTTATATATTGGTCAAGAAAAATTTTCTCAAATTATAGTTGCTATGTCGATTTACCAAAAATTAGAGAAATATTGGAATATAATAGATAAACTCTCTATTGTCTCTGCTGTTTTTGATCCTCATGCTAAATTGAAAATATTTAACAGAACTAAAATTACTAATGTTAAGAATATAGTTCAAGAAACAATAGATCAATATAAATATCAACAAACTTCGCCATCTCTAATAATGCTGAAAAAAGCCCAATTAAAACTGCTCAGAAATTTTTTTGAAACTTGTAAAACAAATAGGAGATAGAAGAATCTAATTATATGACTGACAATGCTCTTGGAAAAACTTCAACTACAAACACCAGTGAATTAGATCATTATCTTATATCAGAACCTGTTGAAGAAGATACAGATCTCGTGAATTGGTGGAAGGCCAATAAAAGAATCTATCCTATTTTTTCAAAACTTGCATCTGACTATTTGAGTGTTCAAGCAACTAGTGTTGCTTGTGAATGGGCCTTCTCTCTAGCGGGTAATACTATTTCAAGAACTCACAATTGTCTTTATTCTGAAACAACAAGAGCGTGTCTCTGTGTTAAAAGCTAGATCAGTAATAGAGTGGGCAAAATTGAATAAAATATGATTAGTTAGATTAGATCAAAAGATCAATTTGATCTAAGAGTATTAATAGAAATGATCTTAGACAGTCTTAATAACGGTAACAGTATTAAAGGTGTTTAAATAAAAGCTTGGTTGCTTCATAATATGCATCTGTGTGTATCAATATAAATTTTATATCTTATAAAAAAGATAAGACTTTGATTCTTCAATAAAATTATCTAAATTATGCATTTTTATTGGCCAAAGGTGACCTGGTTCAAAGTCTGGTCCTGAACCAAACCTAGTTAAGACTAGTTTAGTGAACCAGTTCATGAACCTTGATCTGGTTCACAGTCTGCCTCTAGACCTGGTCTTTTGGACCAAAACTAACCCAGGGTGGACTATAACATCCCTAGCAAAGCCTGAAATTTGTTCCAAGTTAATATCTTAATGCCAGCTTCATTAATTAGCTGATTGATATAGAACAAATTAAATCTTCTTATAGTATTATAGTGTTTGCTGAAAACTTCCTCTCCTAAAACTTCTAAAATCATAAAACCTGTTTCAAACACTTGCCACTTCTCTGTGTTTGCATTAACTGAGATTCCCAAATTGCTTGCCTTTAATAGAACTAGGCCTGCTAGGTTTTTTCATACCTTTCTCAACATTAGGGTTCTGCAATTTGATTTGATTTGATTTAATTTGATCAAATATTTGACTTCAAATCAAATTCAAATAAACTTCAATTTGATTTGATCAAATTCAAATCGGATAATTATTTGATTTGAATTTGATTATCAAATATATCAAATATTTGATTT